TAGTTCCTGTTCCCGATGTTTAACATCGGCCAGACGCAGGCTCCATATTATCCTAAACTTCATAACTCCTACTTTAACCCCATAAGTGCGGTTGGAGAAGAACTTCAAAAGGAAACATGCATTTGTGGGTTTCCTTTACACATCTCTACATAATCTGGTCCCCTCTTTGTTAACTAGGACATCAAAACAAGGTAAACCATCTTCCTTTTCCAACCCGATGATGAATTTAGTCTTCCCATCGATCTTCTTCATCAAACCAATAAAATTATCCAGGTTTTCTTTGCCATCTTGCTAAATAATAAAGTATTCGTCCATATAGCGAACTAATAATTTAGGAACTAAAAGTGCCTCCTGAATTTTCTTGCCTTGATAAATAGTATCGATAGGAAGACGAAATTCACCATCAAGTTAGAAAAAGAAGTTTTTTTCTTCTTGATGCCTTAGTTAGCAAAGAGAGGTAGGTTGACACGTGTAGAGGAAACCCACTATTGCAGGTTTCCTTTTAAATTTCTATTCCAACCAGACTTATGGGGTTAAAGTAGGAGTTATTAAGTCTATCATAATAAGGAGCCTGCGTCTGGCAGATGTTATTCATCGGGCTCAGGAATTGAGGAGACTAAGGAGAATTCTGGTTATTAATAATTTTCGACGAGGACTGGTTGATAATTATTTTAGAATTTTGTCAAATAGGATGGATGGAAATACATAGTTGGGGCTATATAAAAAGTTAGACCATTACCAGAATCCTTATGCTGTCATCGTGTAATCTGTCGAAGAAGATGGGCGAATTACTGAGGAGATGGGACATCAAGACCATTTATCAAGAGAAAATAGCACTTTCCTCGGTATTGCCTTCTTTTTGATAATATTCTGACCCACTCTCGAGATCGGGCTGTTATAAGATTTTGTCTTCATGCTGTAGTGCTTATGTGTGAGAGATCTGTAGACCCATACATAAGAGTTTATCCGAACACAAAACAGCCTGCAAGAGTATGTGGGTCTAAAAATCGTAGTTAGCCGGACACCTTGATCTCACAGGACACCAGGTAGTTTGCTATAATGCAAAACGCTTAGCTGGATATGGAGAATATACCAGTAAATGAAAGATTAGGGAGGCGATAGAAATCAACAAAACAGCCAACACCCTGAATAGAAGGAATGAGTGCAATAAGTTAAGCGTCAACTACTTGTGTCTGTTGAATAGGTTTAGAGAGAGAGAGAGAGGGTGGACGACGAAAAGTACCACATCACACTCATTTCAAGTGCAATGCACTCAGACAACACGTGTGCAATGGGACACAATCACATGCAATAACTTTGCAGGATCAAAGGCATGCGCGTTTTAGGGTAGGTACAGCTATTCCGTTTCAATTGCACCTGTTATCTGCAGCAGCTTATCATGTCATCCGCAGTCACTTAACTTAACTTATAAGCAAGCATATAGGCAAAACATAGGACATCCAATTAAAACATGAGATGTCTATCTGGACCAAATTTGACTATAAGAAGGAAGTAGGTTTGAAGTCGGCCACCTTTTTGGCCATCGTGTTTTTAGTGAATTCTCGTTAACAATGGTGTCCTGCTCTGACGATGTCCTTCACATGACGTGCGAAAGCTCAGTAAGTATTCATCAGGGTCGCAGGGCGTTGCGCCGAGGACCTATTCTCACAAATCTACAACCACAGCTCCAAGGCAACCCTATCACAGCCTCCGGTGGAACCAACTTATGAATTCCTTCCACTCGCCTCTTCAAACAAAATTTTAGCTACTCCAAAATCAATTTATTAAGGTATTCTTCGAAATCCAGTTTTTCTACAGCGTTAATTTATGTTTACACATTGTTCCCATCTTTTAATTCCGCAGATCAACTAATTTTTTCGCAAGCTGACATCAAGGCAAAATCAGGAACCAATTATAATAACCCAATTATCTATCCCGCCCCAGATAGCAAACTCCCCTCATCTTGTTACTGGCACTCGATATTTAATTGTCTACTAATCCTAATCTGTAATTATTTTGAAATAGTATATTCCTCACTCTACCGATCTCCTGGTCCCTTATTAAAGTTTTATATACTGTTTCATCGTCTAATGACTCTGACATTTTCCCTACATAATCAGTCCTATCTATAACTACTGCTATCCCTACTTTGTCTGCCCTTAATACTGATTGTTCATTCCCTTTAAGCCTCCTTATAATAGTCTCAACCGTCCTATCCTTATATGGTGCTTCTACATGACCATCAATTAAAGGGATAACTTGCAATTCAATGCCGGCGAAACGTTTTTACCAAGTCAATGGTCCGTTCCTGGAAATCACGAATACTATGGCAAATGTCACCTGACTAGGTACATTCCGCAAGGTCTTCCTGACGCTCCGACCAAGTTGCGAAAACAAGGTTGAATCAACACTTCATGACTGATAATTGAATTTTCCCACAGTGTGATAAATATGCCTCACGATGCCATTGCATTTCACTTAATGTTGAATAGCACATGTATTATATGGCTCATTGCCACCCGCGGCCGTGTAGTGGAGTGAAGTGTTAAAATCTCAATGATAACCACAATCCTGTATGCAATCCTGCTGGGGTGCTGATGAGACCTAGGCGAGATTGAAATTACGTTCTAACTTAGATGTGATACCCTCTTGGAATGCAGGGCTAAGTGAACTTCAATGATATCGCGCAGACTACTCATCTAATTGTGGTAAAACTCAGCTATTAATCATAAAATCACCTTAAGTGACCTAGGGCGACTAGATTTTCCTTCAATGCATTCCATTAATACCTCGCCCACAGCCCCTTGATATGACATTCATGCAGAGGAAATATGAAATACCCAACTAAATCCAGCAATGCCTCATTAAATTGACGAAGTTAAGTTAGAAGAATGGATTTTGGCCCGACTTTGGGAATTTTCCTAAATCATTGTTTCACTTCCTTACGATGTCTGTCACATGACGGACGAAAGCTCAGCACAAGCTCATCACAGTCACTACTATAGAACAATCCCCGATAAGTTTCCGGTATAGCCAATTCACGATCCCCCTTCCCTCACCTTTCCAAAAAATAAACTAGGTTTGAAGCCGTTAAATAGTAATATCGCACATAGGCTGTGGAACTTTGTTGCTGAGCTGGATTATTTTAAATTTCATGATATCAATTTCTTAGTGTTTATTTTGACTAAATACTTTTATGACTTTCATTTAAATGCGATTTGAGGAGTCCTCTAACATGGCTTACGAAAGCGAATCGAATTCTCCGTAATCAGGTGTCGAAATTTTATTGAAGCATCTTCACAATAACTCTAAGGCACACTTTCTTCGGTTTTTAGTGTAACAAACTATTTTTTTGGAAACTCAAGACATGCTGGATCACTTGAATAAGTTAGTTCTGAAATGCTCTAAATTGAGTCTGGCAAATATCAGATAAGGATATGATTGATTTGAAACAACTTGAAGGGATATTTCTCTCATAGATGCTAAACATTTAATAATCTTCTGAGTCAAGTCGAGCATTATGCTAACTTCTTGCTGAAAGGATTACAGATTTATGCATGAAATCCTAATCACACTATCCTATAAACTAAAATACCAGAATAAGCAATAACCTGGACGTTATTTGCTACATTCGGGATATATGAGACTTGGCGCGAGTTCGCAAGTTTGTGTGGCTTATATATGCGAGTAGAATGCTCTTATTTAAACAAACTGAATAACTAGTGTGCGGAAGGTGATGCTATACCATGCGTTTTCCATACCCGATCTTTAAAAACTACAAGGCAATTGATTCTAGGCGTGATCAAGCTAGTTCGTCTATTCAACCGGGTACTGTTCATCAATCATCTATCCAACAAGGCGGTAATGTTAGTGGTGGGGGCGGTGGTGGTGGCGGCGGTGGGGGCAGCGGTGGTGCTAGTGGGGTGGGTGGAGGAGGGAACAGTAGTGTTTGTGGCAGTGGCGGAGGTAGCAATAACAATAGTTGCAGTTGGGCCAATGGCTCCGGGGGTTCTGGGGGGCAAGCTGGTGCTGGCCCTTCTCTATCAACAGGCTCCATCGGGCCCCTAAACGCTTCACCAACGGCCAACGCCAGTAATGTCATCGTTGCCTCTTCATCGGCCGAACTTAAGGCACACAGCTCTCATTCTGCCTCCGGTCTCGAGGACAAAATATCTGGTGGTGGTGTTGGTGACTCAGGCCACTCTGGCCAATCTAACCCTAAAAGAATGGAGGAGCCGATCGATGCTGATACAACGCTAGCACTGGGGCGTAAAGCCATGCCAACATCTATTCTCCCGACTAACGATCCATCCAAGATACGTGAGTTTATTTTGAATTAGACTCACCTATCACATCCATACTGTTCCTTGTCAACATTACATTCCTTTTTTACATCTTTTTATTATCTAAATGCGTTTGTCTTCGGTTTACCCATTTTATTTTTAGCTTTTACAAATATACAGGGTATACTATGTTCTCTGTTCTTGATTCATTTTTGCTTTTATTAGTCTAACTGATTCTAAAGGGTTCAATGGTATTTTACCAAGATTGGCAACCAGAATTTTTGGGATTAGAGAAATGATGAGGAACATTTGAGAGTCAAAACAAATCACTACATCGATATAGATATATTTTTGAATAATAAAACTAAAAAGATAAAGAATTTCCCCAGCTGTCGCCTACTAGAGGCTAGCATCAAGGTCTCAAATATATCTACCCGCACAGTATCTAAAAATCTAATGATGACTAGAATGGTAGCTCTTAAAGAGTTCAGATACTTTTGACACAATTTGAAACTTTATGCATTGAATAATGTATAATAATTTGAGAGAACCCCTTTTCTTCCATATTTGGTCTAGATTCGAATAATTGTGACATGAATTTCCATTTCGAATGAAAAGTTGATTGGAAAGAATTCGTGAAATGGTCTCACGAGATAAGGTGGCCGGCCGCAACCCTAGTCGCTTTTTTATACTCCTAACTTTGCGATCTTAATATAGCATCCCATGATTTGGTTAGCTACTTCTTACTTATTCTACATGCTTGCAGATGAATTAAGCTAATTCCCGAACCGGAAATCTATTCACTGGTAGCTTTATCCTTACACTAATAAGCTAGCGTACTATCCTCTAATGTTGAATGATGTTTGGGTATGTATTATCATCTATTGTGTGTATATAAGGTTAATTTCATGTTAGTGTGATATTCCTAGCTAGACTTGAGGCTAATCCAGCCTCCTCTTGTTCAGTTGCTATTTTTGCTCTCACTTTCTTTCCCTCCCCTCAAGCTTATTCAATGGTCACATATAGTTCCTACTTAATTTTCTACACTACTTTCTCATATTCAGGACGTTGGCTGTTTTGTTGATTTCTATAGACTCCTTAATTTTACGTCTTGATGTGAATTCCGTGTAACCAGTAAAACACTTTGTTTTGGGCCTATTGAGTACAGCTTTTCATCATAGATTCTTATAAGTCTTAAATAGCTTCTTAGTTCAAAAGGTATC